AGTGAGTTATTTATAATTAGGAGGGGAAAAAGGAAGGCAGAGATCATCTCACCTGTCTCCCCTTGCATTCCTGCAGTCTGTTTTCTACACAGCAGGGAGATGGAGCCTAGCAAAGTCAGCTCACATCCACCTTTGCTTCCACTCAGAGGAAAAGCTGGCTTTATGAGGCTCCATATGATCTGTCTCCCAGGCACCCAGGTCTTACCTTGTATACTCCTCTTCCCCCCTCACTCTGCTTCAACCACACAGGCCCCTCATGGTTCCTCAGAGGTTCCCCACACTCCTGCCTCAGGACCTTTGCACTTGTGGCTCCTTCTGCCTGGGTTACCCTTCACCAGGTGTACTTCTTTTTTAAGAATTTGCAGCAGGTCACAGTCCTGGAACATTTGTGCTCCAAGGATGGGGAGAAACTCTCCTCAGCATGCTTGTCCTCTGGGCTCAGGTGTCTGCTCAAGCCTGCTCGGCCACTTTACAAATGAGCGCTCTCAGCCTCCCTTTCTCTGTTGCACCTCTTCCATAGCATCTTCTACTGCAGACATGTCATGTGCTCATTTCTGTACTGTCTGTGCCCTGCTGCCATGAGAACTTTAGACAAGCAGGGATTTCATCCGATCTGTCCACCACTGTGTCCCTAGTTCATAGAACAGTGTTTGGTAGACAAAGAGTGCTTAATAAGGAGTCATCGCATGAATGGAGCAGATGCTGTGCATTTGAGGAAGAAGAGCATTAGGAAAAGATGTGATGAGAATGGCCGCCTGAGTTGTCACAGGGGGAATTAGTTCCCTGCATGCACCTGCAGTTTCCCCAGAGCACTAGAGAAGCCCTATTCCTAAGTTAGGACAGAAGCATCTTTTAAAGTGACTCAAACCAGCAAAGACAAAATAGCTAATATTTTCTGAGTGTTAACTATGTTTAGGCACCATTCCTAGTATTTGCCATGTTATTTTCTTCAATTCTTACAAGAGCTAGGGAAGATTAATCTGCTATTGGTTCTACTTTACGGACAAAGAAATTTAGACTTGGAGAGAATTAGCAACGTGTCCACGACCACACAGTGAGCAAGAAGCGGAGCCGAGGATCAGACCCAGGAGGGTCTGAGTTCCAAACCCATGTCTTCTGCTTGCAGGGCAGAGATGACCCAATATAAGTAAGGGACAGACTCTTACCCTGCAGGGGAAGAAGCACAGTGTCCCCATCACAGACAGGCAGGAGCCTCCTAGTTTTCACGCACATTCAGCCACTTGAGAGTATTATGCGCTGTTGTTTAAGAGGCACATTAACAAATTGGAATAGGTTTAGGGAAGGGTCTTGAAATCATGTGCACTGAGAACCGGAAGAAACGGCTGGGTGCAGGTATCCAGCGTGAGAGTGTTTGTGGGAAGGCAGCAGTGTTTCCTACAGGCATCACCATGCAGAAGCAGGGACGTTTGTGTGTGTTTCTGTGAAGGACAGGCAAGAATAAATTCATGTTAGCTCAGTTTATGTCTATGGAGGGACTGCCAGGGCAGAGGCTCTTGGACACAAAGGCAAGGGTGATGGTGTAAACAGTACACAGACGGTTTTGTCAGGGAAGAATCTCTGTGGGGACAGGGATCCTCACTCACGTACAGTATTACAGATATTGCTGAATTCATAGTAAAATGTGTGTTCTCAAAGGATACTGAAAGTATAAGTTCTGACACGTGTGAAGGTCAATACCGATTTGTGTGTGTGTGTGTGTGTGTGTGTGTGTGTGTGTGTTAAAAGGGGCCTTTGGACCCCGAGAAGTGTGGGTGCCAGGTAATGGGGATGGTCGAGTGAGGCTCCTGTGGACCCTAGCCTCACTGATCCCATGAAGCACAGCTGGGCTCCTACTGGCTGGAGCACAAGCACTAAACATTGATCCACCAGGTTAGACCCACCAGGACCTTCCTTGGGTCAGGGTGGCACCTTGCTGGCCTGGATGAGTAGGAGATTTGGTGGAACTCCTTCCATGGGGATCTTGAAGGGTAGGAGAGGCCAGGGGATGTCAGCTGTAGTACTCTGTGAGTCTCTGATTTCATACTTTGCAATCCAGTGACTTACTCTTCTCCAAGTACTTAGGATACTTGCTAATGAACCTCAGGTGTTGGGGTTAGACTTGAGCCAGCTCTGTTTCCTCAACTGATTATTATTATTATTACTTTGGCTTTTTGAGACAAGGTCTTGCTCTGCAGTTCAGGCTGGCCTTGAGTTCACTTTGAAGCCCAGGCAGGTCTAAAACTCGCAACAATCCTCCTGCCTCAGCCTCCCGAGTACTGGGATTATAGGTGTGTGCTACCACGCCAAGCTTATTAAAATTATTTATCAGGTATCCCAAGTGCAGAGGTCTGGTCCCGTGTTAAGACTTTTCACTCTCCGTCTCCTCCCTTCCTTCACCTCCTTCTCTCCTGACTCTGATCAGGGTTGACATGCAGATGCACTCCGCAGTTTGCTTTGCTCTCTGTTCCCTCCAGGACTAGGCCGTGTCTTCTCCATAGGTCTATCTCCTGACTCTCAGAATAATATAGATTATGCTTTTCCTTGTACTCCTTCCACTCTCTGCTGGAGGGTCCCAGACCTGGAACTGTCTCATGACAATTTGAGTTGTGACCTTGCTTCTCAAAAATTCTTCTCTAAGTTCATCCTTTCAAAGGAACTGGCATGGTTTAGACAATGGCTGGGATCTGCTCCAGTGACAGGCCTCTAGGTGCCCTGATTTATTATGGATTAAGAATTCCTGGAGACCCATTGTGCTGGACTTTAGGCCCACATCTGGCCCTGTAACAGCTTCATTTATGTCTGTCATAAAGACGAAGCTTACGTCCTGCCTATATATGCGTGTATACATGTGAATTTCTTGATAGAAAATTCCTTTATGATGCAAATAACTTCCAGTAGTGACATAATGTGACAGCACATTTAAGCAGCATTTTGTGCTACTCAATTCTCTTAAATATTAAAAAAAGAAAATATTAAGAAAGAAAACATACCGCCCAATTTGTGTGATATGTTGCTTGGAACATCAGCAGATTTCATTGCCCTAGCTATGTTCCTCTCCAGAAGGGTAGAGATGATTGAACATTTTGATGAAGCTGAAGCCCAGAGAATTTAAACAGCTTGGTCATGCTTAGCCATAGGGAAAGTCTGGTGCGGCCCTGGGGTTGGTCCATCCCTCAAACTGGTTATTGTGTGGGAGGGAGGAGGACAGGGGGTCTGCGTGGCCACCCACTGGGCCTCTGCTAATTCCACGTCTCATGGGGCTGTGGGCAGCAGCTGCGGAAGATCGGGGTGTAAATCAGAGAGGGAATCCTAGCGATGCACAGGGAGCAGTTATGTGACCTCAAATCTCCCCTTGAGGAGGAGATGACACTGATTTTGTGTATATGTTTTCCTAAATCTGAACACTAAATTTGAGGAGTCTATGGATTTCTTGTTTCAAGATGACCTCAGTTAGCTTGGGCTACTTCTTATAATGGGAGTTGAACCAGCTTTCAACCAGTTTTATCTGCTTACAATTCAGTATAAGGGCTTCACTCATCCACTGATTCATTAATAATTGATGGCTCATTCATCCATTTGGTTACCACCCCTTGATGAGCACCTATTATTGGCAAAGTACTCCCTTAAGGTCCAAGGTATCCAGTATGTGGCCAAGACTGGAAGCTCCTGGAAATGTCATGGTTTTATCCTGTGGAAGGGGTTGGCATGTTGCGTATCCTGGGGTAACATAGGGGTAAAGGACAAAGGAAGAGCCAGGCCACCCTCCACCAACCCTGCCCAGTGAGCCCTGAAGTCCCCGCCCTTTCCTCCCTTCGATGGTTCCTGCTAAGAGCACACAGGCCACACCCTTGGTAGAGCATAGTGTGCAGCGGACACAATGAAAAAGACTTGCCCCGGAGAGATAAGCAACACCTTCTCAGGCTATAAAGCCACACAGGATGCCTTTCCTCTTGGACAAACAAGTTCAGTGCTTAAGCCTCTGAACAATGTGGGCCTGGTAGGTTCTCAGGTTTTCTGAGACAGACGTGTTCAGCAGAGCTGCTGGATCTGCCAGATCTGGTCTGGTGGGGCTGGCAGAAGGTGCTGGGTGTTCTCCGAAGTACACAGAGGATGGTCTTACAGGGGCCCTGGGTGTCTCCTTCCTGACTGGGTCTCTGTGTTTGAGTTTCCTGTTCCCAGTGACTTGGGCTAAAACCAGAGCAATGCCACAATGTAGGGAGCAAGGAAGGAAGTTTTAGAGAAGCCTGAGGTGTGTATACTGCTCTGTGGCTTCTCTGGGTAGATTTTAAAACAAGCAAAAATTTGGCATGTTGGGATTTGACCAGTGTCTGATCAAGGTGCTCAGGTGTGAACTTCCTGTTTTCTCTCAGAAGGAAGTCAGAAGCCACGGTTTCCTGACTACAGGCTGGGACAGGTGGAGAGCCCAGGAGGCAGATGCATATTTCTGGGCTTTATCTATAGCAAGGGAGGAACGGAGACCCTTAGTTTGTCCCCAAGACTAGGACAGAGCCAGGCACACACTAGGCACTTGGAAGCATGCGCTGATTATAGAGTAAATGATGTCACCTTTTCTACTGGGACACTTTTCCAGAGTTATAGGTGGACCTCACTGTCTCCACTTCTCAAGGGAACCAGAACACCTTACATGCATCATTCGAGTTAAGCCCTGCCCTGGCAGGGCACGGGGACAGGCGACAGGCGGACAGCCCTGAGCTGAGCCCATGATGCAGGGCAGCATGCCTTCTGGGGCTTGTAGGATAAAAATCTAGGAAGTGGCAGTGCTGAGCATGGGCGATCCCAGGCACCACCCCCTGCCAGGTAAACCTGCCACCTTAGCATTTTTCCCGTTTCAGAGTTTTCTTAAGGTGTTTGGTGGCCTGGAACAAACTTCTGCCTTGGAGGCAAACCCAGCCCATGAATATTAAGGATTAATTATCTCTCCTTCGTTTGAGCCCAACAACGTTCTGCAATGTATAAAAAAGGGATTCATTCCGCGCAGCCTTCAATCTCCTTCTCCTCCTGCCCGTGAGCTCGGTGTCCTCCCTGCCTGCTTCCCACTTCCCTTCACCAAGTGCCTCATCATGAGCAGACAAGCCTGCAAGACACCTGGAGGCAGGAGCCAGGGCTTCTCTGGCCGCTCAGCTGTGGTGTCCGGTGGCAGCAGGATGAGCTGTGTGGCCCGAACTGGTGGAGGGGCCTGCGGGCTCCGGAGCGGAGCAGGCGGCTTTGGCAGTCACAGCCTCTATAACTTGGGTGGCCACAAGAGCATCTCTATCAGTGTGGCAGCTGGTGGCACCCGGGCTGGTGGCTTTGGTGGGGGGCACAGCGTCTGTGGTGGTGGCTTTGGGGGCAGCTATGGAGGTGCCCTTGGGGGTGGCTATGGAGGCAGCTTTGGCAGTGGCTTTGGTGGTAGCAGAGGAATGGGAAGTGGCTTCGGTGGAGCTGGTGGCTTTGGAGGGGCTGGTGGTTTCAGCGGCTTTGCTGGCTTTGGTGGCTTTGGTGGGCCTGGTGGTTTTGGCCCTGATTCCTTCCCTGGAGGAATCCAGGAAGTGACTGTCAATCAGAGCCTCCTACAGCCCCTCAATGTGGAGATCGACCCCCAGATTGGGCAAGTAAAGGCCCAGGAGCGAGAGCAGATCAAGACTCTCAACAATAAGTTTGCTTCCTTCATCGACAAGGTAATGGCCCTGGTTGGGCCCTCATTTCTAGACTAGCGACTTTGAACCTAGCCCTTAGACACAGTGTTCAAACGTGTCCTGCATGGACCAGGCTAGACAGTGAGGAGTTGGGCAAAACGCCAGTGTTTGGGAAGATATTTAACTCTGGGTAATTACTTAGTCTGGTTCATGGTCAGGTGGTGCGTGTGTGGAAAGAAAAGAGTCCCTTGTTTGGATCCAAACACCACCGTGCCCCGCTTGCCTGAACCTCTGCTCAAGTCTCCCACTTGTTGCCTTACTAGGCCTAGGCTTCAAGAGCTGGCAGCCCGAGACAAGGGCCCTGGGCGCTGGCAAAGAAGGTTCTGACTTTGAGCCACAAATGTGAGTTGTCCTCTGAGGCTTCCCATGAGGCCAGGCCCTGGAGAAGGTATTAAAGGGGTTTGAGTAGAACCCCAGTCTCAGGGGCTGTGTGAAGTTGCTGACTTCCTGTGCATCCATACCCAGCCAGGAAAAGAAGACAGCTCAGTGACCTTCCCCAGCCCAGAGCATCTCACATGGGCCTGTGTCCCCCATAGGGCTCAAGAGAAGTGTTATGCTGAGTACGATATGCAGTGTCAGTTCCCAGAGACATAGCCTTTGTGAGGCAGCAGTGTCCCTGGAGTCTTAGATGGAGTGGTGGTGCTGGGCTTCTTATACATTTCTGCAGAATGTACTATATTTCGGGAAGTTGAGATAGAGTGCTGAGGCCCCCAGGAAAACCAAGCAGTCATCTTTACAAGTCTGCATTTAGGCAGGGCTCTTTCTTGTTTCCTCTGCAGGCCTCTCTTCCCTTTGTAACTTCCCAAGCCATGCAGCCTCCTTGGAGTCTTGACTCATTGGCCTGACCACACTCCCTGCAGCTGCAGCAGGAGCTGCTTTCCGATCTGCTCTAGGCCTTTGTGCAGGGAAGCAGGACATACGGGCATCCAGACCTGCCTGGGCGAACGAGAGCCCCACTTCCTGCTCTCTGCAAGGGTTGCCTGAAGCTTCTCCTCCTCTGTGCTTCAGGTGCGCTTCCTGGAGCAACAGAACAAGGTTCTGGAGACTAAGTGGGAGCTGCTCCAGCAGCAGGGAACCAGTTCCACCACTGGCACCAACAACCTTGAACCTCTTTTTGAAAACTACATTAACCATCTGCGGAATCACCTGGATGGAATCCTTGGGGACAGAGGCCGCCTGGACTTAGAGCTGAGGAATATGCAGGACCTGGTGGAGGACTTCAAGAAGAAGTGAGCGAAAGGGAAGGAGGGGGAGATGCCCTGAGTCACCCTTCTCAGAATTTCCCCATCTGTGTCCCTTCTGCCTGCTGTGCAGTTGTGTCACGTGGCCTGTTACCTCTCCTTACCGTACGGGGAAGCTGAGTAGTTAGGCTCCCATTCACCTTCCTTTTCCAAGCACAGCCCTTTATAAATGAATTTGTGGCAAGAGGCAGGAGTTTCAAGCTGAAGTGTTTCCTCCTGAGCCAAATTAGGGAAGATTCTGGTTCTAGGTTCTGAAAGATTCTGGGGTAACTCATGGTAGAGTGACTAACCATCCTGGAGGTTTGTCTGGGACTGAGGGTTTTCCTGAAGTGTGGGACTTGCAGTGTGAAAATCAGGATAGCTTGCCCAGGGAGAGCTGGGATGGCTGGTCTCCCTAACTAACAGGGAGTTGGGAAAGAAAATGTATTTATTAAAGAGAGGAGGATAAAGACAGATGGGGGAAGAGACACATTTCCAGGGTTTCAGAGAAAAGTGGTTTTAGGACTACCTCAAAACCAAACTCAGCCATTTCTTTTTTACTTCTACAGATATGAGGATGAAATAAATAAACGTACAGTAGCTGAGAATGAATTTGTGACCCTGAAGAAGGTAAGGGCAATGTGTGAAGCTCCTGGGCTGGTAGTGGCAGTTTCCCAGTGGGGCTGGGCATCTCCTTACCCCGCTGCCAGGGGACTGCCATGGTCAAACCCTTGAAGCAATAAGCAGAAGTCGGGTGCTTCTTAGTTTGGAAGATTCCTAAAAGTCAGCTAATTTTGAGTAGGACTGAACTCACACAATCTCAGTGAGATGGGAATTGCCCCTTCTTGTGGACAAGCACTACTCCCAGCCCTGGTCCCCCAGACTCCCTTGCTACCATTTATTGGTTCTTCCTGGAGGGGAATGAAGCCTTTGTGTTCCTGTCTTTCTCAGGATGTGGATGCTGCCTATATGAACAAAGTTGAGCTTCAGGCCAACACGGATGCCCTGGTAGACGAGATCAACTTCCTGAGGACCCTCTATGATGCAGTGAGGATATTTCCTACTAAGCATGGGGAGAGCAGGAGGGAATGTGTTTTCAGATTGGAGGTTAGGTGTTTTGGTATGTAAGTCCTAGGGGACTGTCAACTAGAGACAATGCCCCTTGGTAGGGGTTCTGCAGATAGGCTGTAGACACCTGGTACATTCACAGCTAATGGTCAGTGAGTGAGGTTGCTGATCAGGAGTCTCTCTAGGCCTCTGTGCTCTTGTGGCAGAGACTCTGAAAGTGAATAGTTCCCCTCGATGTTGGCAGGAGCTTTCCCAGATGCAAAGGCATGTCAGTGACACATCTGTGATTCTATCCATGGACAACAACCGTGATCTGGACCTGGACAGCATCATTGCTGAGGTCCGTGGTCAGTATGAGGACATTGCCCAGAGGAGCAAGGCTGAGGCCGAGGTGCTGTACCAGACCAAGGTGGGTACAAAGTACCTCTCAGAGGATCAGTGAGTGTCAGGAGGCCATGTCCTGTGGGACTGCGAAGCGGTGAGTTCCCAGGGACTCCTCTTGGTTCTACCCTCTGGAGGCATCCTTCTAATGATTGTTCAGCTGAAGAATGTCTTGTCTCCTGGGGTGGTGGTGGTGGTGGTTGCATTGCCCCTTGTCAGGCCATGTGGGACTGACTCTTGCTTGCTCAGGGCATACAGGGTGGAAGACTCCTCTACCACAACGTCCCAGATGCCCTCTCCGCTGCTGAGACACAATCCATACCATTCTAACAAATAACTTATTAAGAATGTCAAGGTTTGGTGGGTGGTATTGGCAGTATAGAAACAAGCCAGGCAAAGCCACAGTAATAGCTCATCTTCCTTTCCACTTTCTAGTTGGGAGAGCTGCAGACTACAGCTGGCAGGCATGGAGATGACCTGCGGAGCACCAAGAGTGAGATCCAGGAGCTCAACAGGATGATCCAGAGGCTCCGCGCTGAGATTGAGAACGTCAAGAAGCAGGTGGGATGGCCCTGTACACTGGTGCCTGGGCTGCCTTACCTGGTAAGGAGTAGGGGTGAGAGTCTCAGAGCTCCCAGCTAGAACTTCTGGAGGTCCTCTTGGGCGCATTGGCTTCTAGGGAGTTCAAAGACCAGGCCAGTTTATATGACTGGCTACCCTGCAGGGAATATTTACCTGGGTGGACACAAGATGGAGATGCTAGGGGGAGGAGTAATGGTCTCTGGTTTTAAGATGTGGCAGTTCTTTCTAAGATGCAGAAGGTTTGGGATCCTCCTGCTGGGCTTATCCCATCTATCTCTCCTTCCCAGAATGCCAACCTACAGACATCCATCGCAGAGGCTGAGCAGCGTGGGGAGATGGCCCTCAAGGATGCCAATGCCAAGCTCCAAGACTTGCAGGCTGCACTACAGCAGGCCAAGGATGATCTGGCCAGGCTGCTGCGTGACTACCAGGAGCTGATGAACGTCAAGCTGGCCCTGGATGTGGAGATCGCCACTTACTGCAAGCTGCTGGAGGGCGAGGAGTGCAGGTGGGCCTCCAGTCTCATGATCCTGACCCATGTCACGTGCTGAGGGCCAGATAAGTGACCGAGTAAATAGACAGGAGGGTCTGCTGAGCAGAGAGGGGCCTTCACCTTCCATAGACCTTGCAGAGAAGCATTCGTTTTTACCAGGCCCCTAGTTCCCCACATTGCCCAAGTGTGTTTGTGTAGGGTCCTCTTGTTATGACCCAGAGCAGAATGGATAAAACTTACTGACCCGCCCAGCTTCTGAGTTCATGGGCTGGTTGCAGATGTGCTTTGTGACAGCCATGTTTTTCTTGTTTTCACAAACAGGATGTCTGGAGAGTGCCAGAGCGCTATCAGCATCTGTAAGTGGCCAAAGTAACCGTGCCGATTAGAGTTGATCCGCAAATATCTGTATTTGTACAGGGAAGAAGCAACTAATTAAGAGAATATTCCTGTGAAAGTTGGAGGGGTCTTGTGGGGGATGGAAAGGGAGCAGACTGGCTTTTGTAATTGTGTGGGGTTCAGGGCACTTTTAATGGGAGTAGAAGGTCAGTGGGAAGTCGCTTACAGGGAGCCCTTTAACGGAGGAAGCATTCAAATACTGGATGACCTCCAAGGGGTCTTCAAGAGTTGTCCACATGTAGAAGGAGCCACTGGGTCATTCTGAATGACTGATGACATTAGAATGCCCCCAGCGATCTCCAGATGCAAAGCTGCCCTGTCACTCCCAATCTTCCTCTCCCAGTGGCACCTTAACTAGTTATAACACAGTGATGTGGGCACTGGGGCACTGACTGCTGTCTCTTCCTCCTCCATAGCTGTGGTCAACAGCAGCAGCACGACTTCGGCCTCGGCAGGCGGTTATGTGGGCAATTACGGTGGTGGCTTCAGTGTAGGAGGCACTGGCACAGGCAGTGGCTTTGGCCTGGGTGGTGGCGGTGGAATTGGCAGCGGCGGTGGATTTGGTGGCAGCAGCAGTTTCAGCGGTGGCAGCAGCTTTGGCTCTGGCTCTGTGGGTCACAGTGGAGTCAGTGTTGGGAGCTTCCGTTCAGGTGGCAACCGGGGTGGCACTGTCAGGTTCTCCCAATCCTCCCAGCGCTACTCCAGATAAACAGCATAAAGCGCATTCACCAGCATCACAGCCACCTCAGCACCTCCCTTCCCACCCTCTCCTCCCTTCCCAATGTCATGTCACCCCTGCCCCTAGGGGGTGGCTCTTGGGCTGGAAGGCTGGGGCTCTTGCTCTTCCACCTGGGTCCCTGGCTGAACCCAGCCACAAGGATTTCAAGCTCTCTTCTCTCTGGCTCCAGTATATGCCTGTGATTACCCAGATGTGGCCTCAGCTGCCACTTCGGGCGGTCCTTGGGATCCTCCCTTCCCTGAGAGTCACCACAGTTCTTGTGTATATAACCTGTGGCTCCTTCTGCCCGCCTGTTCTGTCACCAATAAAATGCATTGTATCTTATGCCAGCCCTCTGAGTACTCTGTCCACAACCATCTCCCCACTGGGCCAACCCCTCTGGTCACCTCTCTGGGCCAATGCATTTTGCCTCTCCTACGTGGGCTCCCTGATCCACACAGCAGCCGGAGCATTTTTGCTCAAAACAAGACTGTTCCTCTTCACCACCCATGGGGTGAGACTTAAATGGGCAACATTTGGCTATTGATTTATTCTTGGAGCATTGTAGGGTGGTGCCATGGGGCTTCTCATTTCCCAGGGCCTGTGGCTTCACACTTTTCTTTTGCCTGAAGAGCAGGAGGGAGGAAAGGAAGGAGGGGAAAAAGAGAGAAACATTTCACCTTTCCTCTTGTCTCTTTCTCTGTCTCCCTCCCTCCTCTCCTTCTGGGCCAGGCAGACACCTACCTCCTCTACCTTCACTCATCTGGGGGAAGTCAAAGGGCACTGGGGATGAGTTTTTCCTTGGGTGTGGGTCCCCTATCACCTGGCATCCTGAAAGAATTTCCTCATCAAGGTACACTGGGACAGTGGAGCTTCTAGAAGCTGAAGGCTGCAGGATTCCCCTAGAGCAGCCTACTCAATGTCTGACCCACCTTGAACACTGTTGCATGTACTTTGGGCCTTGAGGAGTGCACCGGCCACAGAGGCTCTACCATCCTGTCTCTTCTCTGTACCAAGAGGCCCTGGCCAATGTTAGTTGACCTTAGAAAAGCTGCCCAGAAGGCCACGGCTGACAGGGACTCCAGAGCAGGGAGTCTAAGGCCTTCATACAAGCTGAGAGGTGGGAAGACCCGCTTAGGGTCCTGTGGCATACAAAGACGTGAGGTACGAGGGGGACCAAGCAACCAAAGTCTAGATCCTCCACTTTCCCACACTACCTCTGAGGTGCCCCATAGCTTGGGCACCCAGAGAACACACAGAAATGTTCAGGCAGGCCAGAGAAGCAACATTTACAGCCTGGGCCAAAGCTGATTTATTTCCAAGGTGGGAAAAAGCAGTTAGACAAGGAAAGCCTGCACCTGGGAGATGGGGAGATTTGGGTGGAAATCTAGCTCCTGGATCCATTCTGATGACCCAGGAAGACTTTTTGGAGCAGGAGTTCATAGCAAATACCTCATGTTTGAGCAGGAATGCGTCTTTTCTGATTGGTTATCCCCCTGGAAAGCAGCCAGGAGTTAGAGGTGGGGAGACCTTGTGCCTAGCCCTTTTCAGGGTAGGCCTTGTGGGAATATGCCAGACCATGGATGGGCATATTGGGACTCTGGAGAGTCATTATTAATGAATTCCTTCCCTCCTTTGTTCATTAATATATCTCTCTTTCTTCCTTTGAGACAGGGTCTTGCTATATAGTTCAGGTTGGCTTTGAACTCACTCTATAGCTCAGGTTAGCCTTGAACTTGCAATGATCCTACTGCCTCAGCCTCTGTTCTTGTCTTCTTTTTTTCCCTTCTCTCCTCCTCCCCTCCCTTTCTCCTCCTCTTCTCTTTCTTCTTTTCCTCCTTCTGCTCTGACTCTTTCTCTTTCTCTCTCCCTCCTCCCCTCCCTCCTTTTGGTGCTGGGGACCAAGACACGCACACCACCAATGAACCACATTCCTAGCTCTTATTAAGCTTTTATTCTCTGTCTAGTACTGAGTTAAATTCTGGAGATAAACTAGTGAGCAAAGATCAAATGTTACTAAAATGTTACGTTCATTTTAGTAAGCAAACCTAACAACACAAGAGCAAACAAATAAATGAATAAAAAATTTATGTTGTAGTGAGCACATAAAAAAAGAAACAGAAGTTGGGTGAGCAAATAAGACTGTCAGTAGAAGGGGAAGGGAAGGGAAGGCTTGAACCTGATACCCAACTTCCTAGTGCAAGCAATTGGGTAGATAGTGGTATATCCTTTTGTTATGGCACAGTGGAACTAATTTCTGTCTCCAACAATGCTCTGTCTGGTGACTTCCTCCTACTCCCCCTCACCACTGGAAGGAATGCTTGAAAGACCACCTTCCTCTGCCTAGAGTTGTGACTTAGTGGTTCTCATGTCCCTTGGAGGAGACATGGAGGGGACCAAGGTTTGTTTGCAGATTTCAGGTTATTTCCCTCTATCTTCTGGGATTCAGGTTGCAGGCCAGAGTGAGTATCAACAGTGTTGGTGACACATCCACAGACCAGAAAACAGGAATGGTTTCCCACAAGAATCTGAAAGTAGATCAGCGCCTGGTTGTGGATAATCCAGACCTGACTGCTGCTGATGAAGGTTTGTATGTAGAATTTTAGGTAATTTGGAGGTAAATCTCTACAGGACTCTTGTCAGTTTTGCCTAAAGCTGGGTGGCGGTTTGTTAGCCAATCATCAGAAAACTTATCTCCTGGGATTTGACCTCTGCTTCTTTCTGCCTTCTCAGCACTTTAGCCCAAGTGCCTTCTTTCTCTGCTGACAAAGGTCAGACACGTAGGCACCTTGCAATACTCCTGGGCTGGCTGAGAAAACTCAGCTCTGAAAATGTATTTTGTCCGTGTCTCTTTCAAACCATTCTGGTGTACAAAGGACACAATTTATACATCATTGTCATGCCTAAGAGCAACTTAATCACCGCCAACCCTTGTAGTCCTGGCTGAAGGCTGGGAGCTGACTGTCCTAGGAAACCACTGATGGAGGTAGAGAGGGATCAGCCTGATAACCTCTGGAATCTACAGTGATATGACCACATGGTGACAGCTCCATTACCTCCTGAGAAGACGGGCATGAAAAGGTGGCTGTAGATATCAATAAAACTCGTTCTTGCTGGCTGTGGTGGCACATACTTGTAATCCTAGCACTGTTAGAGGCTGAGGCAGGAGAGTCACAGATTTGAGCACACCCTATGCAATTAGGCACCTTAGTGAGACCCTGTCTCAAAATAAAAAATAAAAATAAAAATAGACTGGGGATGTAGCTCAGTATGAAGGCCATAGTTTCAATTCCCAGCACCACTACCACCAAAACAAAAAAACAAATCAAAATCAAAACAAAAACTGAAAGAAAAAACAAAAACAAAAACAAAAAAAGAGCTGTGGTTCTTGGTAGAGGTGATTCTGTGCCCTCTGCCAACATACGGGGACATACACAGCTGTAAGGCAGAGCCTTGAACATTACAAAACATCCTACAATGCACAGGCCAATCCCGTCAACAAAGAAATAGTCCATCTGAGGTGTCAGTAGCGCTGTTGCTGAGAACCTTCCATCAAGGCAAGAGGCCATCCCGTTCCCCGAAGCCTGGGAAACACTCCTTAGCAAAGAGGGATCCTTCTGGATTGGAGAGTTTGTGGTAAAATGGACATGTCCTTTTATTCAGGACAAAACCATAAGAAACAAGTCAGGAATGTGGTGTGGCTCTAGGTGGGGACTTTCAAGACCTGAGCAAATAACCCTTGATGGGTGTACGGGTGGTTCTGGTATTGACCTGTTAGTTTATGCCAGTGTGAATTTGATACTCTGGTCCCTTTGCTAGAAGTGCTCAGTCCATCTTCCACCACTTACTCCTTCTTGAAATTACTCAGGATGGCCTCCCTAGACCCCGCCTCACTTCTGTGGTACTGAATACCTGCTGCCTGGGCTCCCTGGACTTGTTTACTCCCTTTATCATGTGTCCTGCTCTCTCAAAATGACCAACTTCAGTGTCTGCTCTCCACCAGGATGGAAGTTACCTGAAGGCCATGGATGCACTTCACTCATCCTTGTGCCCTTCTGTGATCAGATGGGGCCTGGCACATCGCAGGGACTGTGGATTATCCTGAGTTAATGAGGTTTGCAAAAGGGCAGGGTGGATTGCTGTCCTGACATATTTAACAAAAACAGTACAATTAGACAACTGAGTTTTTGGTGTAACTAAGTTACTGGTGTAAGTCATACACTGGAATTTTGCATGTCATCTTATTTAATCCTTACAACTGCCATAGGAGGCAGGTAGTAATTATCCTCATTTTCTAGAGGAGGGTACTGGGGCTTAGAGAGGCAGAGTGACATGCCTGATGGGAAGAGGCAGATCTAGGTCTCAAATCCGAAGCCTAAACTTGTAACAACTGTGCTAGGCTGCTGAACAGATGGGGTTGGCCAACTTCTTGGCCTGCAGGTCATCCTCTCTGGTATGTTCTGAGTCCTTGGCATGTGGTGCTAACAACTCTCTGGAGTAGAGAGGAGCTGTAAACCAAACCGGAAGTTCATATGTGAGCAGGACAGGTTTCCCCAGCAGAGGCCTGTGAGGGTGGATGGGATGCCTTCAACTCCCCACAGGTCTGATCTCCAGCTGCAGGAGCAGGAGGCATTGAAGGAGGAAGTACCTTGATAATGATGGGTGTTTCTCTTTGATGCCAGAGAGGAGTTTGTGAGGTTTAAATCTATTTTCATTAACACAAGTTGACGCTTCAAGGCAGATCTAACCATCCTGTGTTGGGGGTGGGGACTTTAAATGTCAAAGTAGATTTTTCACTCTGAGATGATGTATTTTTGTTTTGTTTTGTTTTCCAGTACCGGGATTCAAACTCATGACCTTGCGCTTGCCAGGCAGGCACTGTGCCGCTGAGTTAAATCCCCAGCCCCCGAGATGATGTATTTTGACTTGCTGAAATCCACACAGAAATAGAAAGTTTTCATAGATTTATTTCAGGCTTTGGAGTTGGAGAGTCTGAGATTAAAATCTCAGCTTACTGAGCTAACTGACTTGGGCAAGCTAATGAACTTCATGTCCTTAGCTGTAAAACTGAATGAAAAATTTAACCTTGTGCAATTTTGTAACAATTAGAAATGACAGTTGTAAACAGCTTAGGCCAGTGCTTTATATATGGTAGGTGCTCCATCAGTGTTAAATGTTTTTATTTATTTTTTTACAGATAGGTGATAGAAGTAAATATTTGAGAAGGGAAATTTATTTTCACTAGAAAATTAGAAAATCCTCCTATTTCTGAGGAGTATGCAGTTTCTTTCTTTCTTTCTTTCTTTCTTTCTTTCTTTCTTTCTTTCTTTCTTTCTTTCTTTCTTTTTCTTTCTTTCTTTTTTTCTTGTACCGGGGATTTAACCCAGGTGCTTGCCAATACTAGGTAAGCATTCTACCACTGAGCTACATCCCTAGGCTCTTTAAAAACTTTATTTTGAGAGAGGTTCTTACTAAGTTGCCCAGGCTCATCTTGAGCTTGCAATCTCCCCATCTCAGCCTCTGAGTAATGGGATTCGGGATGTACTCAGTTTAAATATTTATCAGTCAATGGGTTGCACTGCTGATGAGCCACATAGTGGGAAATGGGTCAGCTAGGCGTGGAGGATAATGTCTACTACAGACATTATGATTCCTTGCAATGTCTTGCAAAAATCAGACTTCAATGTTGCACTGACCCTAAATTGGGCTGCCCCTCAGAGCTCCTCCCCACTCTTTGGCCACAGAACTGCCACCTATGAGGAAGCCTTCATATCTCAATGTCATCAACACAAGGGCTCCACATGCCAAGCAGCCGCACTGAGTGAAGGTTTTCTAACATTACCTCCAATAGTCCGCACTGTCTCCCTGTGAGGAGGCTATGCTCATTCCAATTTTGTGAAGGGAAAATTTAGCGCCAGAAGGTAAAACAACTTGCCTGATGTCGTGCACCTGGAGAGCGGCAAGGCTGAGACATCCACAGGCCTGTCTACCTCCGAGATCTCCATATTTCCCCCTCCTCCAAGTGCATAGGAAGAGAGGGAGGAGAGGCATCCGTTTGAGTTCCAGATAACCCAGCATGCTGAGGGCTTTCCAAAAGACCCGGCAGTGTCCATGCTGGTGGGAAATATGCATGGATGTGACGGTCGGTCTTTAGAGAACCTCTGCACTTCCTGGTTCCCCACTGCCCTTCTCTCTTCCTCTTCAGGCAGGCCACAGTCTGCTCTCAGCTTCCTACTGCCTCACTTGCAGCAGGTTCTCCTTTACAGGGATGAGGCAAATCTGGACCTTATGCCTATACGCCCCAGCTGGTCTATCTGTCATTCTCATCTGCTCTGGGTGGGTGACTAGTGACTATATTCAACAGCATCTTAGTAGGGTTAAGACAGAAAGATTTGTTGTTAAATTTGCTTGGGAGGCTTGGTTTAAATGGAGATAAGAAGATTATTTCCTGTAGGACTTTTTTTTTTTTTTTTGAGATAGAGTCTTGCTGTATAGTTCAGACTGGCCTCAAGCTCATGATGTAGCCCAGGCTGGTGTCAAACTTGCAGTGATTCTCCTGCCTCAGCCTCCTGATTGCTGGGATTACAGGTGTACACCATCATGCCCCCCCCTTCTATAGGACTTTTAAGGACTCTTAATAGGCTAATGATGTTTATTAAAATCCCAAGAGTCAGCAGGCCTGTAATCCCAGCTCCCAGGAGTCTGAGGCAGGAGAATCATAATTTAGAGCTTCTCTGGGCAATTTAGTGAGACCTTGTCTCAAAACAAAAACAAAACAAACAAACAAACAAACAAATTAGATGTGAAGGTGAGGGTTCTGGGTTCAATTCTCATACTAAAAAAAAAATCCCAAGACAAGGTATAAAATTCTCATTTCCCAAATTTATTTGACAATAGAGCCTTTTAATCAAGGCTGTCTGGGGGGATACAATTCTGACATAGACAAGCCCTAGGAGGGATCTAAGAACCAGACAAAGTTTATGGGTGAGTTGAAGTGTATTTGAAGGCAGAATTAGAATAAATTGTGATTGTTAACAACTAAGAGTTAGAAACAAGAGGATTTCATGTACTTAGATGTTTACTTCTTTATAAAGCTTTAGCTATAAAGAGAGCTTGCTCTATATGGTAATACATTTTTACTATTTTCTGGCTAAGTGAATTTATTCTAGTTGTTTATAGATTTTATTTCAACATGGTAAAAAGGAAAAAAAGAATATTAACTTTTAGCCTAGGGGTAGCACACCCAGATTTATTGATTTTTATTTCTGTCCTTTTTCTTTCTTTCTCAGCAAATTAGTGCTTCTCTTGATGTGGGATCTGTGAATCTATGTGTACAAAGGGGCGGCGGCCATCATTCACTCACCCTCAGCGAGCCTGGGCGGAGAAGCTTGCCTGCCCACTTTGACCTAGGGGAAATGGCTACTGTTTCATGATTCATTTCTTCACTCACAATTATATTGCAGGCAACTCTTAAGCCTTCTTACTGCAGTTGGATACCAGAGAGCAATTTTGTTAGAGGAAATAACTCTACTTGGTGACACTTTCCCTTGTTTTATGGGTGGGGAAGTGAGAACCCATAATGTTCAGCCACCCGGCAATCTTCACACAGAAGGCCCTGGCAGGTGAGGGATTATCGCTCAGGCTGCTGGCGGCAGGCGGCCTATTTAGACACCACTCCTCTACAAGATCCTCCAGTAAATAGGAAATATTGCCAACCACGGCAACTCTGGGCGTTTCCTGAGGCTTCACCAACTGCTGAGAACACCACTCTGACTTGCTAAGTAAGGAGGTGATACTTTGGCAGGCAAAAGTGACACAAAGGAGGGGAACCCAACCCAAACACATGCTGTTTGGCCTATCACCTGTCTCCATCCTGCTCTTCCAGCACGTGCCAGGGTGACAGCAATGAGCCACACGCAGTCAGGGACTGTCACCCACTGCCTTGGCGCTAGAGCCTGGGGAGGGAAAGGGAATGGGGGATGCCGCTGTCTGTCCTTTCTTGCTTTGGACCCTCACCTTGGTCTTCAGGTGAGCCTGGCTCAGCTCCCCTCCACCCCTGAGAGGGCACTTGATCTCCTTTTAAAGAATTCCAAAACAACCATAAGTAAGACCTCACCAGGAGGGCCTGGGACCTAACGCTGGAGTCAATATCACAAAAAACCTGACACAGAATCCTCTTTGTACATTTTCTACAGACAGATAATTTGATTTCAAAATACAAGCATTTAGGGCCAGAGGTGCAGCTCTGTGGTACAGTGCTGGCCTTGCACGGGCCAGGCCCTGGGTTTCACATCCAGCACTGAAAAATAAACAAACAAAAAACAGACGGAAAAACCAGAAAATTTACACATTTGTTGCTGGGCTCTATGTATTTAAATTTCAAAGCAACCCTGTCCATAAGGTAGATGCCTCCTTTTGCAAACAAGGAAAGAGAAAAAGTCAAGTGTTGCCAAGGCCACCAAATGAAATTGCTTGATTTGAGGTCCTGCACAGTTTTCAGATCAATCATCTGTCTTACATTGTCCCAAAAACTGTCTTAAAAACTATACCAGAAACATAGAATGCCAGCTCTGGTTTGAAAGTATTTCTGAAGACATAGCAGCCACTTCTTTCATGGGGAGTCTAAAGTCACCCACTTCTGCAAACTTCTATGCAGATGACAACCAGAGAGTGTGCTCTTGTGGGGTGTGGCTGGGTGTGGAGGTGGGTTGCTGTGGGGCTGGGGGACAGCTGAGTTCCTGGGAGTTAGAGCAGTAGCTCATCTGTGTCCCTACTCTGCTATCAAGGGTCCTTCACCCCCTTCCCCTGGACCAGAGAGAACTCTCACAGTCTAGACCAGGGCTTCCCAAGCTTCCTGGATCAAAAGATTTCTTGGAGGGCTTGTTGAAAGATGGAACACCCAAGTTCTTTGGAAATCTTCATTCACAGGATTAGGGTGGGAACTGTGTGTAGATATTTAGTTCAGTCAACATCTGTCTGTGCAGTGCTTGCCCTAAACTAAGAGCTGGGCAGGCTGAATGGGTAGGACTCAGGCTCTTCCCTTGAGAAGCTCAGGGCATACAGGGGCACTGACAAGTGAACAGGGCCATGATGGGAAAAGTCCAGGGTGTGGTAGCAAAATAGAGACACTGAGATGAGTGGAGCTCTTGAGCCGATTCTACTAACCAGAGGAAGGGTCCTTACATTCTGTCCCTTTTGGCTCTGAACCTGGAAATCGCTTCTGTCTGTCTAGGATGGTGGTTCCAGGGCTTGGCTTGAGACTCCTCTTTTGCACATGCCCTTCTGCTCTTTCTAAGTTTCACACTTGCTGGCTCCATATCTTGAGCCTCCCTTTCTCCAAGGGCCAGACATATCGGTTCTATTTTGGTTTCTTTCTCATAAGCAGCATTTCTCAGCTCACCTCCAGGCTAGCTGAAGTGGTGGCAGAGTGGATCCTGTGGGGTCAGTGCACCCCTCATCTCCTGGGCCACCGAGGCCCTCTCTGAAGAGTTGGTGCCGTGCCATTAGGAACAATGAGAGCTTAGCCATTGGTGGAGCTCTTGGGCATGGTGGCACCACAGAGGGGGGACTTGACCCACCTGAAAGTGGCTACCTGGCCCTCAGGGTGTGTCATGGAGCTCAGTGGCTGCTCCCCCTGGGGTCTAAAGTCAGTTCACCCTGCTGAATCAGGTGATCCTTGTGTTCCCAAAGGTCCTTGAGGAAATCACATGAAGGGAGGGCGGAGAGCTCCATTTTTTATTAACTGAGGCATGTTTGGGTGATTAAACTAAGAAAGCAAAGCCATTTTGGCCCAGAGGATTATCTTGGAGGTGTGCTGGGAACCAAGAAGTAACTTAATGCCTACAAGGCAAACCAAACCCAAGATGACTCTCAGATAATTGCTTGTCTTTCCTTCTGCCAAGCCAAACGGCCTGGAATATAAAGGCCACTCTACTCTCCCTGCACTGTCTTCATCTTCAGCTCTTGCTAAAGGATCACTAGCTCACCTCCAAGCTCCTCACCATGAGCAGACAAGCCTGCAAGAAATCCTTCAGTTGTGGGAGCCAGGGCTTCTCTGGCCGCTCAGCTGTCATGTCTGGTGGCAGCAGGATGAGCTGTGTGGCCCGAACTGGTGGAGGGGCTTGTGGGTTCCGGAGTGGAGCAGGTGGCTTTGGCAGTCACAGCCTCTATAACCTGGGTGGCCACAAGAGTACCTCTATCAGTGTGGCAGCTGGTGGCACCCGGGCTGGTGGCTTCAGTGGAGGGCGCAGCAGCTGTGGTGGTGGCTTTAGGGCTGGCTATGGAGGCAGCTTTGGCGGTAGCAGAGGAATGGGAAGTGGCTTCGGTGGAGCTGGTAGCTTTGGAGGGGCTGGTGGTTTCAGCGGCTTTGCTGGCTTTGGTGGCTTTGGTGGGCCTGGTGGTTTTGGCCCTGATTCCTTCCCTGGAGGAATCCAGGAAGTGACTGTCAATCAGAGCCTCCTACAGCCCCTCAATGTGGAGATCGACCCCCAGATTGGGCAAGTAAAGGCCCAGGAGCGTGAGCAGATCAAGACTCTCAACAACAAATTTGCCTCCTTCATCGACAAGGTGAGGATGAAGCAGGCCTTGGGATGCCCAGAGGCCTGGCATGGGAAGATGCCAGTGGTGTCCTGGCAGCCAGATGGCAGGAGTGCTTGGACCTTGGCCTTGTTCTGCCTTGCTCTCCCCCAGAACAGTGAGCACGCTTCGTTTACCCTTTGGGCCATTTTTTGTCTGTGAAATGTGGGAAGGATTCCTGGTCTTAACTTCCCACTAGAGATGAAATGGGGGCAAATGAGGTGGGAGTCCAAGCAAGCTCTTAGCACTCTGAAGAATGGGCTCATAGCCACGAAATCAGAAGAGTTCACTTTCTTTTCTCCCTGAGATGCAATTTCTTGCTAACCCAAAGTAGCTGGTAACCAATCTTGTGTCAGTACAAATCTCCAATCCCAAGCTGCCCCTCTGCGATGTACCCTGGCAGAGGGCTTCCTCCTGAGTGACGCTGTGCATCAGCCCATGTTATATAGAGCTGCCCCTGGGGCAGACAAGAGTCTGTGGGGTTTGTGGCAGGGGTGGGGGGGAACGAACCAGGATGTGAAGTGGACCTCAGTCAGCGGCAAGCTGAGTATCTGAGAAGAGGTCTTCCTACGTGAAACACCTCAGGAAAAGTTAGACCTTGTAAACTATTTTCGTCACTTTCAGGGGGGTGAAAGAAGCTTATATCTAAAGAAAATTAAAAATAACTTCAGGATAACTTCCTTTAGCTGTGTTCTGAAGGGTCCCAAAAGACTTAAGGCAGACCTAGGTTAGCTCTTAGCTGTGTCATTCGGTATCTATGCCGCTTTTGGCAATGTAAGCTCTTTGAGCCTCAGTTTCTTAATCTGTGAAGTGGGAATTAGCCTCTTGTACAGGTGGTTGTAGGAGTAAATGAGACAGAATATGTAAGAATAGCAAGTAATAGCATAAATACTCAACAAATTACAGCTTTCTCTTTTTCTCATCCTCATCCTTCCCAAATTCCAAAACAGAGAGGCCCCTGTGGATTAAAGAACTGGGTTCATTCTCCACATTTCCACCTTTTGGGATAGGTGCTCCACCTGCCCAACTCAAGGCGCCCCTTTCCTTCCTCCTCTGACACAGGTGCGCTTCCTGGAGCAGCAGAACAAGGTCCTGGAGACCAAGTGGGAGCTGCTCCAGCAGCACACGGTGGGCTCCGGCTCTGCCCCCCGCAGCCTGGAGCCTTTCTTTGAATCTTACATCAGCTTCCTGCACAAGCAGCTGGACTCACTTCTGGGGGAGAGAGGGAATCTGGAGGGAGAGTTAAAGAACATGCAGGACCTGGTGGAAGACTTCAAAAAGAAGTAAGGGCTCCAAAGGGGGAGTCTCCCTTCCTGGAGGATTCACCGTGGGGTGTGGTGGTAATTCGGGATTTCAACTATTCCTGATGGTGCCTTCAGCCAATACTCTTGGATGGTTTTCGAGTGAAGCGTGACCTAGCAGGAGGCGTTGACAGGGCTGGGGGCTGACTCCTGCATGGCTCATTATTATATATTTTTCAGTCTCCAGCATGCCCCCTCCTCCAGCCCAGTTGGATACAAGCATCTTCCCCAAAGTTAAGCCCTTTAGGATGGGGAGTGTGAGCCCTCACACTTTATTGTACATGGGAGTCTCCCTGGAAGCTTGTTGAAAGTGCATTTTCCTGTGTCAAAGTCCTCAATATTCTGAATCAGTAGGTGTGGACAGGCCCCAGGGGTCTGATGTTCCCATCTCCCGGGACTCTAGGGAGAGGGTCCAGGGCTGTACACTGTAAAGTGCTCTTGCAGTGCATTCTTCCAATCCCCCGCATCTGTAGCTTCAGTCAGCCTCCTCCTGCAGGTTCCAAGTTATAATTCACATCCTCTGTGGTCTGTGAAGGGTGAATGGGGCCTCTCAAGGTGAGAGGGGACTCCTGACTTCCCCAGGGGTCAGGACTCACAGGGACAGGCACAGTTGCTTTGGGGATGTCCCCTTCCAACTCCACACTGTACAAGCTGGTGGCCACTGGCTGTCTGGCAGGTTTCAGGCTGGGTTCTGGGGATCCATTGGCAACTCAGATTCACATAGTCCAAAAACAGCTTTGCTCCAAGAATGGTTCCTGTTCTCCAGTCTTCATAAAAGCCAAACTCACAGTAGGAGAGTCCTTAACAGGCCGACATCCCCCAGCCTTGATGCACTCAGAAGAGGAGTTCATTTTTATCCCAAGTTCCTATGAGAAACCTTTGTAATTAATGAAAGTGGAGCAAACAGACAGAAGCATCCAGGGAGAGGAACCATCCCTTTGGGTCCTCTGTGTGCACACTGTGTTTTGTGAAGTCGGTCTAAGGGCCCAGGCAAGCAGTTGGCTTCTTGACATCTTCCCCCACTCTGACTGCCCACATCTCAGCTTGTCTACTGGATTAAGAGGGAAGTGGGTGAGGCAGTACCCTGAGCTCTGAGAAAACTCTGGAAAGCACCAGCTACGTGATTTTCAGGGCTCAATGCAAAATGATAATTCAGGACCCTTGTTAAGAAATTATGAAGACGTTCAAGCCAGCAGGGCATTAAACCTTGTACGAGGACTTGTGAGCTCTGAGACTGATGGAAGTGCACAGGTCGCATACCCACAAAGCAGGCCCTGTCTCTGGGTGAGCAGATTCTGAAATGTCACTGTCCAAATGTGTGTCTCTGTCTGTGCAGGTATGAAGATGAGGTCAACAAGCGCACTGTGGCAGAGAACGAGTTCGTGGGGCTCAAGAAGGTGGGTGGGCAAAACAAGCAGGCCAAGCTTCCTTTCCCCTGCAAGGAGGGGGCAGGGCCACTGATCCTATGCTGTGGATGTGGCTGATATTTTCCTTACATTTTTGGAAATGTTTGATCAAGGAAGCTGCTCTGTACATTACTGGTGGGGAAGACATCTTTAAACTCTACTGTGACTAATGAACTAATTAGGAATGTGAACTAATAATGCATGTTTATGAGTAGCATCAATCAAAATCTTCAGCCTTCACATGCATTCTGGGTATTATTAATAACTATAATCAACTTGCTTATTTAAACCATATCATCATAAAGATAAATTAGTAAAAACACTCTCATTTATATTCAGGAGGTTGGGCTTTTCATACTACATAACCAAATCACATATACTAGTAAATGTTTCCTACCCTAAAACTACACGGTTACTCTGTGCCTGGCTGGTAAGGTTTGCGGTTTGTTATGGAACAGGTTCGATTGGTCAGAGTCATTGAAAGGAAGAAAACCACTTTGATTTTTCTTTCTTTTAAAAGGTCAGGTGAGAAGTCACACTCAGAAGGGCCATGGGAGGAACAGATAGGAGAGATGAAGGCTTAGAAAGAGCTGTGGATGGGAGGGACTCATTCTTCAGGTTTCTGATCGCTCTTTCAGAATGTGGATGCTACTTACATGAACAAGGTGGAGCTGCAGGCTAAGGTGGACAGCCTGACAGATGAAGTGAACTTCCTGAGGACCCTCTATGACATGGTGATTCCTTGGTTTGCTAAGCTCCAGAGACTGCCCCCTGGCATCCTCCCAAAATGCCTCCCAGGTGTAACTTTAGGGGATGGTCGAATAATAGGATACTAGAACAGGGTTCAGAACTGAGCTCTGCCCTACCACGGATATGTTAACTTAGCTCCCCTAGCCTGTGTATGCTTGGTCTCTGGGCCATGGCCCCACTCTCTCTCAGTCCATTTTGCTCTATTTCTCCTCCTCTGGCTCCTAATTCAGCTTCTTCATAATATCCTTCCCTACTGTATTCCCATGGAGACCTACACAGCAGAGCTCACTGGATTATACTTTTAGGCCAGAAGCCTGATTATATTTGTATAGTTCCTTGTTCTTTTAGCCTTGTTGCTTTGCATTCTTTAGCCTCCAACCTGGCCTGAAATGTAAGCGGATTTTTCTACCTTACGCTGTAGCACCATCCTTGGGGTATCTCTTCTCTGCTAATAGAGGATTCCCAGCATCCTCTGGGGCCAGTGACCATCCATGTTCCTTGCAGGAGCTGTCTCAGGTGCAGAGCCATGTCAGTGACACATCTGTGGTTCTGTCCATGGACAACAACCGTGACCTGGACCTGGACAGCATCATTGCTGAGGTCCGTGCCCAGTACGAGGAAATCGCTCAGAGAAGCAAGGCTGAGGCTGAGGCGCTGTACCAGACCAAGGTGGGAGCCCACCCCTCCCCCAAATTCTAGTTTTAGGTCCCAATGATCTTCACCAAGAATGGGCCAATGCTAGATAAAGCCATGTTGACTGCTTTTTCCTCTTTCAGCTTGGAGAGCTGCAGACCACAGCCGGCAGACATGGGGATGACCTGAGGAGCACCAAGAGCGAGATCATGGAGCTCAACAGGATGGTCCAGAGGCTGCGGGCAGAGATTGAGAATGTCAAGAAGCAGGTGGGTCCAGGCTTAATCAGGTAATCCTGGGGGCCTTCTGAGTTCTGGGGAGAAAGAAAAGTACCAGTTGGGCCCCTCTGCCACATGCTTTCATGGTACTGTGGACTAGCACGGTCTTTGGGAACCTCTGCTCTTCCAGATGTTCACTCGGAGACTAGACTTCTTGGGATGCTCCCTAAGGAAAGATGATTGCCCAGGCTGGTTTGCCTAGCATATTCTACAATTGCAGTGTTAGTGTCTTACCTACACAGCTCTGCAGGATCTGCCTTCTGCAGAGCTACTTATCATACTCTTCACATAATCTTGATGGTATCTTTTTATCACTGGAATGCAGTAATTAGTTAAGGGAGTCTAACAGCCTTGCAAAAAAGATCAGTGATTAACCAGTCCATTACTACCTTTGCCAGCCTAAGAAAGCCAATCTGTGCTCTTTTTCTTGATAAGTCATGAGTTGATTTCAGTGGGCCAAGGATGAAGTAACCGATTACAACACTGACTTGTGTTCTGAGCATGTTCCACTGGGACTTCTAAGGAATGGGAAGGAGGCTTGCTAGATGAGGATAAGAGATCTCATGGGAACAATTGGGTGTTTCTTATTTTAGTGTCCATGCTAATAATCTTCCTACCCTCCATCCCAGAATGCCAACCTACAGACATCCATCACAGAAGCTGAGCAGCGTGGGGAGATGGCCTTCAAGGATGCCAATGCCAAGCTCCAAGACTTGCAGGCTGCACTACAGAAGGCCAAGGATGACCTGGCCAGGACGCTGCGTGACTACCAGGAGCTGATGAATGTCAAGCTGGCCCTGGACGTGGAAATTGCCACCTACCGCAAGCTGCTGGAGGGTGAGGAGTGCAGGTGAGTGGCTGTGGAGTCAGCATCCTTCGGATATAATTTTAGAATGATCTTTAATAATTAATAAAGGAGGGCTGGGTGTGGTGGTGCACGCCTGTAATCCCAGGATTTGGGAGGCTGAGGAAGGAGGATCACTATGAGTTCAAGGCCAGCCTGGGTTACATCATGAGATCCTGCCTCAAAAAAAACCCCAGGAAAATGAAGGACCAAGATGATAGATGTGATCTTTCAGACAAAGGGTAAGGAGTCTTCTGAATGACAAAGTTAAGGATTTAAACCCTCCTACTTTTTGTCAGTCAGTATCATCTAATTCTCTGATTGATCATAGACATCAGTACTGAATTACACGTCTATTGATGCTTGCTATGCACAATGTGTTAGGAAAAGTTCTTTGGAGTTATGACAAGAGTTATAGATCAGAGCTGCCCACTGGAACTTTCTGAAATGATTAAAAATGTCCCATACCTATGTTGTGTGGTACAGTTGCTATTAGTCACTTCAGAATTTGAAATGTGGCCAGTGTAGTGGAGGAACTGAATTTGACATTTAATTTAAATTAAGTGGCTTCATGTGGTTAGTGGCTACAACACTGGAGAGTTCAGTGTGGACAGCACTGTAACCTCTCATCCGAGAAGCTGGGTCCATATGGACAAGTGGTTGATACACACATATGCTCCATGCCATGTATACAGCACAAGCCATGTACAATCAGACATGAGGCAGGCCTGCTCCATGAACCACACCAAAATCCAAGATGATGGCCAGGGCCGGTGGGACACTTTCAAATTCATCATGTGTTGAGTGTCAGCCCTTCTCTTATTTTCTCCAACTTGAATAATCACCATCATCACCACCATTGCATCTTTCTGCCAGGGATCACTGGGAAGGCTTCTTGAAAGGGAAAGTTGGACTAAAAATCTCAGAAAGACTGAGAAGGGTGTGCTAGGGTGGGAAAATTGTCTCAGCGGGGGTGAGAGGTGAGGATGGGATAATCAAGTGGGAGTGGGTAGTTTGTCTGGGGCAGGTTTTTACGGCTAAGGGAAAGAGGGTGGGAAGATGAGGAGATGGAGTACAGTTGGAGGGTTGGGGGGGTACCAGATGTCTTAGATGTGGGTCAGCCTCCTTTTCTAGGGAAATAACCTCTTGCAATAGTCTCTTCTCCCAAGAGCCTGACCTCTAGTAGGATACATGGGAAAATGTAGCTCCCAAATTATGAACCCTCAACTATTTGGCTATTGATTCCCTGCAAAACAATTCACATCTCCATCTCTTCTTTCTCAGGATGTCTGGAGAGTGTCAGAATGCTGTGAGCATTTGTAAGTAGCACATTAAAAAAAATCTTCTCCCTGGGTTGTAAAATAGGTAATTGGAAATGTCCTCACTATCTGATGTTCAGGCAAGAGCTTTTGATTCATCGAAGAGGCCACTAAAAGGCAGCTAGGGTCTCTGGCATGGTTGTACAGTCTGTCTTTTGTGTAAGGGGCAGTCTCAAGGGCCAAAACTCAAGCCCCTGTGGTTGGGGGGTGTGCCCTAGGTTGAAGAACCAGAAATTTCTGAGGGTGCATCTGGTTCCTGTTCTCTGGCAGGGACACCAGAGAGCTGGGGTCACTCTTGTTGTGTGTAAGTCAAGCCTATAGAGAGGCTGTAAGTTATGCCACTGAGCCTGAGGAGGGGGGGTGCTTCCAGCTCCCAGACCTTTCTCTGAGTGCAGCATCTTCTCCTGCAGCTGTGCTCAACAATGTCACCTGCACCAGCAGTAGCTCTGGCAGCAGCCTTGGAGCCTTCAGAGGGGTCAATGGCAGCGGCAGCAGCAGCAGCAGTGGCTCCAGAGGCAGCAGTGGCAACAGCTACAGAGAAGGCAGCAGCGGCAGTGGCAGCGAGGGCAGGGGCAGCAACAGGGTCCACCAGAGTCCTAGCAGTGGGAACAGACTGGGAAGTGGAGGCAGCACCTCTGTGAGCCAGAGTGGAATAGGCTTCAGCTCTGGTGTCACCCAGAACTCAGTAGGTAGTGGCTACAAATCTGGCAATGGAGGTAGCGTTGGTGTCCGCTTCTCTCAGACCACCACCTCCAGCCAGCAATGCTCCAAGTGATCCTCCAGCCAAGTCTCCATGCCCACCAGCTTCTGTCTGCAACTGCACTTTCCAATATCTGCTTGGCATCAACAGGTGCACACGGCTCAACTACTGTTTTCCTCAAGTCTCCTGGAGAAGGACTGACCTCTTGGTTCCTCCATCCATAGGTCCTCTCCTAGGCCAGGGAGGTCTAGTTATTAGTCTGGGATAATGATGTCCCTGAAGCATCCCCTGCAGTGGCCTCTGACTTTGGGGGCCCAAGGACCACCTCTTTCTCATTGGGAGTTCATGGTCAAAAGCTAGCATGACGTGGCACTACTTGGGTGGGCAGTCAGTGCTGGAGGGGGAAGGTCAAGATCCCTAGGCTGGGGGCTGGGGATTTAGTTCAGCAGCACAGCACCTGCCTTGCAAGTACAGGTCATGAGTTCAATTCTCGGTACCAGAAAACAAACAAACAAACAAACAAACAAACAAAGATCCCTAGGCTGTGGTTCTCGGAACCCTCCCTGTATCTAGGCATCATGTCCTGAGACTCACTTTTGTCCTTTTACTGTCCTGAGGTGTGGATCCTCTGGTGATGAGTATGTTGTATCTTTTTCCTCAATAAATTGCATGTATATCATATTCTTGTGTTTGCCTTTCACTTAAGGAGTCATGGAAGAGACTAAGGCCCAGGAGTAGAGGGAAATCAGGTTCTAGAAGTTTTTATTATCAGTGATGATAATAAGAACACTGAATAGTCTTGGTTTCTCCTTTATCCATCTTGTTGAGTTCTATAATAGGTCTGCCCCAAAATATTCATGTTAAAGTGGGGGCCTTCCTCACTTCTAAGGAGAGTGTCTCACCCATCCACTAGCCTCTGAGGAAGCCTCTAGGATCTGGCCTTGGAAACAGAGAAAACAGATTGCACTGGGACCTCATCCTTTTTGGTTCATCTTCCCCCAGCCAGACAGCAAATTCTGCAAGCACAGCTACTCAGATCTCAAAGGGTCAATACATAACAGCCTCTTTCCCCTGTGTAGGTTCTGAGCCAATTAAAAAAAGAAAGAACAAGTGGTATGCTGGAGATGTACAGCTCCACGGTTGAGCACTTGCCCTGGCTTTGGTTCCCAGAACTAAAAAGAAAACAAAGGGAAAGTTAATATTGTCTTTCTTACGAACAAAGAGAGTGGGAGCAGGGGATGACATTAAAAAATATCAGCTATTTACTGGCCTTTTAGAGACACTAAGAAAATCACCAACTCCCAGGAAAACAGTATGGAAGGGCTGCTGCATGTATTGCCTAGCTTAACCGGAAGAGATTGACTGTCTCAGCCTAACCCAATGCTCCCTAGACTGGAGGAGTAGGGCTAGGGGATGGCCACTAGGTCTCTTTATCCATCTGCATCAAGAATTCAATCATGGGTGTTATCTCAGGCGCCTTCACAGGGGGTGCAGAACCCAGTGAAAGGTACAATGAATAGAGATGAATAAGGAGAGTGAGACCCCCTTCCCCTCAAACTGAAAGGAATCTGGGATAGGTCATACTCCAAGGCAGAAAGTTGACTCTTGTGAACTGTTGTGAGGAGGGAGCTATGGAGGGAGGTAGTGAAAGACTGAAGGGTACTTGGAACTGGGGGTGGGGTAAATTCAGAAAGACATACTGGAGAGGAAGCCTGGGGAAGGCCTGGGAGGGAGAGAGAGTCTGGGCAACGTGCAGCAAGGGCAAGGGGACAGGGTTCAGCTGTCAGACCAAATCCCACGAGAATTCCTGGACTGGCATCCTGCGTCATGTTCCGGACACAGGCTGAGACTGAACTGTAAGCCAGTGGTGCAGTCCCCTAGAAGCTTTCAGGTGAGGGCATCGTATCTGAGGCCTCAAACCCATTTCCAACTTAAAGACAAAATAGGGGCAGGTCTTTATCTTTGGAGGCAGCCATGCAGGCAGAGTAGGTATTTACCTAAATGGAATAGTCAGAAGAGTTGACAGGAGACTTCCTGAACACTTCAAATCTGACCAGTCATAGCTTTAGGATTAAAAGAATTCATCTCCTCATGGCAACTGCTTCTTTATTTTCCATCCTTTATCCTTTATCCTGTTCTGTCTTCTTTAAGTTCTTTTCCTAGATCATAAAAGCAACATATAGCAAAAATGTGTAATATTCAGCACAATAAAAGATGAAAATATTCTCTCCTTATATGCTACCACTTTGTGACATTTCCCTATGTTCATGTATGTGACATGCATGCACATAGACATAGAGATAGTGCATGTACTTTTATATTTTACAGAGCAGAGTCTTAATTATATCTCTATCTCTATCTATCTATCTATCTATCTATCTATCTATCTATCTATTTATCTGGTCTTACAGTATATATAGAAGAATCAGGTTGCTTTCCAATCTAACCTTTAAAGAAACTTTTGCATCTTTACTACTTGTGTCATTACTTAATTAGTCATAATTACTTGTGTCATTACTTAATTAGCCTCAGGATAAAGGGAACTCACACAGTTTCTGCTTTCATAGAATTTAGACTTTAGCTTGGAAGAAATTTACCAAATAACATTTTTCCATGGTAACGTGTGTATGCAGACTGTTATTTTCTTTGTCAGTACAGATTCTTATTTTAAAAATGAAATCAAAGATCCATATTGAGAACTCGGCTATGGTGTTTTTCTTCTTTTTAGAAGTGTAGCACACACGTTTTCTGGTCAGTAATGTTCTATCAAACGTTTTATTAAACCAGATAGATAAGCATTAAAGCTCTCTCGTGCCGCCACATACTCAAGCTGGGTCAGACTAGTGGAATACCAGTTTTTGGCAGGAGAGATTTTGGCAGGAAGAGGGGTAGAGTTGGTATGGTAGAATTTTAAGAATCTTTTTAGCAAATTACTCCCTAACCAACCCAAAACCCAACAAAATGATTTGTACAGAAAAGATTTTAAGCAAACTTGCATAAAAACGATTAGCATACTAGAAGAAAATGCTGCCCTTTGGTCAATTTGTAGCAGACAACATACTTTAATTGGAAAAATAGTAATTTTAATAAAGTCACCTTTTTATCTTCATAGCATTAGCAAGTGAAAAGTACACACATTTAATACTTAGATCTTTAAGTGGATAATTCTGAAAACTCTAAGATTAGTTTACTGTGTTAGCTTCAGTGTTCACCAATAAAAATGCTCTCACAAAAATGATGCTTAAAAGAAAAGAAACTTCTCTAGAAACACTGGGACGACATCAGGACTAGTGGAAGGCAGTGATAAAGGAACTGTAAACAAGACCAAGGGTTGATTTTTACAGGTTGCTTTTGGTTAAGGACATACTTTTCAGCTGATTCCTACAGCCAAGAGCAACATCTCCCTGCCCATGATATTGGGCAGAAAATAATCGCTTCAGAAATCTCAAGGCGGGGTAGCTGGCTTGTGCAACAGCCTAGATAAACATTCCCAAGTAATCAAAAATCCCAAACAGGTAGGTCATGGGGGTTGAAGGACTGTGACTCTTACCCAAGTGACTGTTGTGCGCTAATGGAAGCTTGATGCAAAGCCTGCCTGTGGTGTTTATGACAGGGAGGGTTGGTACTGATGTTTTCAACGCTGTCAACACAGGGACTTGTATACCAGTCAAAAGAGTCTTCCAAGTGTCCCAGAGCAGTTCGACTTTCAAAAGTACTTGAGAGCTGTGCCTACTTTTGCAGGCCCACAAGGGTTACTGAATACAAGCAAGTGCTTCAGGAAAAGCTCTGGGTTATATATATATATAATTATCCATCAATACCTAACATTAGTGAAGAGCTCCTGAACAAAGTTAGTTTCCCCAAGACGTGTTCTCTTGTCACCAGCCTACTTTGAGGCCCAGAAAGTCCCCATCGTCTAGGAGGAGCTAGTGCTGAAGATTTTTCTGGGGAGCTGGCTTGGCAGATGTCTTGCATAACGCAGTCCCCACTAAATCATGGCTTAAGTCTAGTCCTCTCCCTTCTTTTTTGGCTCTGTAATCCAGAAACATCTCCTTAAATGCCAGAAAGTCCGTGAATGTGAGCAGCATGTTGAATATGTCATCAGCCACTTCATCTTTACGGTGCTTTAACACTGTTGTGAAAGCCGACATGTTGAATTTTGGAATCCGCTCTAGCAGCTGTTCTTCAATATATTTTTCTACCAAAGAAAGATATTCATTAAAAATTGGTGTGTAGGTGAGTTTATTTTCTTCCGTGTCTTCGAATTCTTGATAGTATTTGTCCATGAAATTTGTCTGCAGTATCTGGAACTTGGTATCCATGATAATGTCCTCTATAGACCCAACCACAGCGTCGAATTCGGCCTCAGTCGGTGAAGAGATGGAGAATGCGAAGCTTTCTTCCTCTGGGGCTTCCGTCACTTCCGCTGCTGCATCCATGCTGACATGGGCGGAAAGGCTTGAGTCTGCAGCGGTATACAGGCTTCCGCCAGTTCACGGTGCGATGGAGTGTGCGCCTGCGCGCACCACGGTCCTTCTTGTGTCCCTGGTGCAGTTTGCCTGGGGTCACTGATCTCTAGGTGCCACACCCTGCTATCCGTCACCATGGCTAGGATCATCATTATAATGACTGCATAATATTCCATTATATGGATATAGCACATGTTGAAGTGTGTGTTATTTCTACCTTTTCCACTATAATAAACATTCCATGATTTTTTTCAACACAACACTTGTATCTCCTCCTGCACCCTACTCCAAATTGGTTATCGAACCAAAGGATACTTTACCATTGAGCCACACCCCCAACCGTTTAAATTTTCTATTTTGAGACAGGGTCTTGCAAAGTCACCATGTAACCCAAGCTGGCTCAAACTTGCAAGCCTTTTGCCTCCGCTTCCAAAGTAGCTGAAATTATAAGGATGGGCTACCACTCCAGGCCTATTCATTCTTTTTTTTTTTTTAAATTTATTTTAAAAATAAAAGAAGGAAAACATACTAACAGACACCCATTTACAAAATAGCATAAGAACAATACAAGCAATACAGTCACAGAAAAAGTGGTAGGAAATTAACAATGGCAGCTGTATTACGTATTGACATCTTCAAAGTGGTTTCTCAGGAAAACAAATAGAAACATGCAAGATTGATCAAATAAGTAATCATTAACTGTTCCTTTCA